TGGCACCTTTGAGGAAGTGAGAGAAGGTCACCAGCTCGCAGCAGGATGAGTAATAAGGCTGGAGAAGTCAAAGGATCCTGCAGGGTCCGTGAGTCACGCCAGATGGGGGAGGCCAGGCAGAGTGTTTAGGCTTTTTGTTTTCCTGGGAGCCATAGATTTTAAGCTGGAAAGGCTGTGATCAGATTAGAAAGATCCTCTGGCAGTTTTGTGAAGGCCAGGAGCCCAGGGGGAGGACAGGGCTGGGGCAGTCGGAGAGGAGAAGATGGTGAGAAAAGGGCTGCCAGGAGAGGTGACCAGGGTGAGACCAGGGCTCCGGCCAGGGACAGAGGTGTTTTGGATACTTCGTGCCACTCTAACAGAAATACCACAGGTGGATGGCTTTAACACACACGAGTTTATTCTCTTACAGTTTGGGAGGCTAGAAGTCTGAGTTCAAAGTTCCAGACTCTCGGGGCTGGGTGAAGCCTCCTCGACCTTGGGCTTCAGCTCTGCCTCTTGCTCCCGGCCCCCTGAAGCTGGAGGCTTTTCTTAACTCAGGCAGCTGCTGAGGCTGACAAACTCAAGGTCAACAAGTAAAATGGTACAGTCCCAATATTACCAAACAACATGGCAGGCCACTAGTTCAAGTTCAGAGACAGTCCCAAGATTGGCTAGAAACATGGCAGGCTGCTGAATGAAGATTCGGCTACATGCAGGGTCCAAGTGTGCCAAAAAGCTGCTGACCCTCCTCAACCAAAAAACCAAACTCATTGTCATCAAGTCAGATCCAACTCATAGCAACCCCTCCTTCGGTTTCTGAGGCAGTATCACTGTGGAAGTGGATTGCCCAACCTTCCTTCCGAGGAGTGGTTGGTGGGTTTGAACCGCCAGCCTTCTGTTTAGCAGTGAAATGCCTTTGGCACTACGCCACCAGAGCTCCCACCTTCCTCAAAGCTGCTGCTTGATACTAGAAGCAGATCACATCCCTAAGGCAGCTACTCAGCTCCTCCAATAGATTCCCCCACAGAGATGATTACCAGTCTCATCATGGGGAGTAACTATATCCAGCTGCCCAGCCACCCAACACCAGGCCCAGCCGAGTTGACACACAACCACTGCAGGAAGGTGGGCTCGAACAGGGACAATGAGGAGGAGCTGGCTTGGGAGAACCACTGAGGTCAATCTGGAACACAGAGAGGCAAAGGCAGGCGACACCAGGAGGCCGCTACAGGTGGGCATTCTACGGATGGGAACTCAGAGGCAACCAGGTCTGTCCAGAGCAAGTCTTTGGATAAAGGAACACAGTGCAGTTCCTTTTCTCTTCCTCTGTTGAAACTCCACTGTGACTCTAGCTGCCTGCAAGGGGCCTGGGGCATGGTAGATGCTCCATAAACGTCGGGATGGGTGGGTAAAAGGGAAGGAGGGAGGGTGGTGGCCGTTACTTGCCATGAAGTCAGTTCCAACTCATGGAGACCCTGTGCATTCAGAGTAGAGCTGCCCCAAAGGGTTTTCAAGGTCGTGACCTTTCTAGAAGCAGATTGCCAGGGCTGTCTTCCAAGGCACCTCTGGTTGGGTTTGAACCACCAACTTCTCAGTTACTAGTCTAGCACTATTTGCACTACCTAGAGACTCATGGGAAGATGGTGGTCGTGTGTGTGGATTGTAATGCAAAGCCAAGCAACACTATAGGACAGAGTAGAACTGTCTCATAGGGTTTCCTAGGCTGAAATCTATGGGAGCAGGTCACCAAGTGTTTTCACCCACGGAGTGGCTGGTGGGTTCAAACCAGTGGCCTTTCTGTCGGCAGCCATGCACGTAACCATTGCGCTACCAGGATTCCTTGGGAGATGATTTAAAAAAAAAAAAATTCACTGATGTCAAGTTGATGCCAACTCATAGCAACCCCTCCTTGGGTTTCTGAGGTGGTGTCTCTACAGAAGTAGAATCCCCAGGTTTCCTTCCAAGGAGTGGCTAGTGGGTTTGAACCACCAGCCTTCTGGTTAGCAGTCAGATGCCTTAGGTACTATGCCACCATAAGAAAGTAAAATGGATGGAAGGAAGAGATCTCCCTGGTTAATCACAAAGCAGGAGCTTGGACCATCCCCAGTTACTGACTTTTCAGGAGAATGTCACCCTCCAACCCATAGAGGAGGAAGATACCAGGTTTGGGTTCTGCATTTATTGGACACCTACTGCATGTTTGTCCCTGTGCTGGACTTGGTATGCACCCTGAGCACCAGGCATGAAGAGTCCCTCACGGGGTGCTCCTCACTGGGAGGCAGAAGAGGGATGTATGGAAATGGGAGTTGGGGGACACCAGACCTTCCTTGAGCCTAGTTTTCTGCACAGGGGTTTTCTTCTCCAACGGGGAGCGGTGGAAGCAGCTAAGGAAACTCACCGTGCTTGCTCTGCGTGATCTGGGCATGGGGAAGCGAGAAGGCGAGAAACTGATCCAGGCCGAGGCCCAGTGTCTGGTGGAGGCATTCCAGGAAATGGAAGGTCAGCCCAGGCCCTGGCATGAGCGGGAGGGGGTGCCTTGGACTCTAGCACCAGGCTGGGAGTTCTGTTCACCTCCAACTCTTCCTCCACCCTCCATCTCTCTCCTGCTGGGTCTCTGAGGGTCTCTACCTGGGTATCTTCTTCTGTGTCCCTGGTACTATCAGAGGAGCTCCGGTGGTACAGTGGTTAAAGCACCTGACTGCTAACCCACCCATTTGAACACACCAGCCATTCCATGAGAGAAAGATGTGACAGTCCTCTTCCGTAAAGATTTACAGTCTTGGAAACCCCATGGGGCAGTTCAATTATGTCCTATAGGGACGGTATGAGTCAGAACAACGTGGCAGCCTGGTTTCGGATACTGTCAACCCACTCTTCCTGTCTGTCTGTCTGTCTCTTTGCTCTCTCTGCCTATCTTTGTCTCTTTCTGCCTGTCTGTTGGAAATAAAGAGCTTAACTTCAGCTCTTTGCCTTTGTTCCCTGAGAGATAACTCTAAACCCTTGGAATTTTCTAAGTAATCGAGGTACCTCTGTTATTTAAACAACACTTGAGGATTTGTGCTAATGAGAAGGGGCGTTTGAGGCCACAAAGACCCTGTGTAGCCTGATAGCACTTGCTGGCCTCAGAGAGACTGGGGAGCTTGATTCAATCAGTGAAGCCAATGAAGGCTCTGGACATGGAAGCAACTTGAGCTTCCTGGTTGGTGAAAGACATCCATGCACATGAGAGGATAGTACATCCTTTGGGACATGGAAAATCTCCACTGGGCATCCTCCCAGACCTTGTCCTATACGTATCTCTGTTCATTTCCATTTTGCTATAATAAAGTGGTCCTCATAAGTACTGGAGGACTTTTTGTGAGTTGTTCAGCTGAATATCAAATCCAGAGGAGTGGTAGGAGCTAGCAGGTCAGAGGTTAGGGAGCTCAAGGGAAACTTCCAGGTTCACAGGTGGCCTCCTGAAGGGGTAGAAGGAAACCCTGAATCTGTGGCCAAAAATGAAAAACCAAACTCACTGCCATTGAATCAATGCCAACTCATAGTGACCCCCACTGGTTTCCGAGGTGGTAAATCTTTACAGAAGTAGATTGCCCCATCTTCCTTCCTTGGAGCGGCTGGTGGGTTTGAACTACCAACCTTCTGGTTAGCAGTCAAATGCCGTAGGCACTACATTACCAGGGCTCCTTGAATCTGTGGCCAGGGGACTCCCAAACTTGCACTTGGGAGGTCTGACCTAGCTCCAGGTGGTTCTAATCAGACCAAGAAGGGCTGTCTGGGTGGCTGATGCCAGAACTAAGCCAAGAAGAACCAAACCCACTGCCATCAAGTCGATTCCGTCTCGTGGCGACCCCCACTGGGTTTCCGAGGCAAATCTTTACAGAAGTAGATTGCCCCGTCTGCCTTCTGCGGAGTGGTGGGTGGGTTTGAACCTCCAACCTACCAATAAGCAGTCAAATGCTTTAGGCACTGTGCCACCAGAGCTCCTTTCAGAACTGAACAGAGAAGTAAAAAGTGAGGATATGCCCTGTCCTCAAAGTTGGTGTCAGGAAAAGGGATGTTTGATTTCATTCTGAGATTTCCACAGAACACACTCTGTCTTCTTGACTCTCTGCCTGTTTCTCCCTGTCTGTCTGTCTCTCTGCCCTCCCCCTTTTATTCTCCCCTCTCCCTTTCTGTTTCTGTCCTTGCCTGTCTTTCTCCCTGTCTGTCTCTGTCTCTCTCCAATGCCTATCTCTGGTCTTGCTCATCCCCACTTGGTATCTGTGGGTTCACTCTCACTTCCCAGTCAGCTCCCCTCTACCAGACTCTGTCACGGCCCCTCTTTGCCGCCCCCCCAGGACGGCCATTTGACCCCTCTCTGCTGCTGGCCCAGGCTACCTCCAACGTCATCTGCTCCTTCACCTTTGGCCTCCGCTTCCCCTATACGGACAAGGAGTTCCAGGCCGTGGTCCGAGCAGCTAGTGGCACTCTGCTGGGGATAAGCTCCCCATGGGGTCAGGTAAGTGGGTGGGACCCCCTGTCTGGCCCCCTTCCCCAAAGTTCCTGCCCCACCTCTTCCAGGTAGCCCTCAAAGTGCCCCTGCTGCCTGCCCCTCAGGCCCATGCAGGGCCAGGTCCCCATGAGAACCAACCGCCCTTCTCTCCACAGTCCTACGAGATGTTCTCCTGGTTCCTGCAGCCCCTGCCAGGCCCCCAGACACAGCTCCTCAGCCACGTGGGCACCCTGGCTGCCTTCGCCGTCCAGCAGGTGCAGCGGCACCGGGGGAGCCTGGACACCTCGGGCCCAGCCCGTGATGTCGTGGATGCCTTCCTGCTGAAGATCGCACAGGTTGGGGGTTCCTCCTGAATGGGGCTGGTGGCCTGGCTGGCCAGGTGTAGCTGGGGCTCTCTGTCGGGTCTCTGATTCTGCGTGTCTGCCTCCATCTGCCTGTTGGTATGCCTCCCTGTGTATGTCTGTCTGTGCATGCATGTCTCTTTGTGTGTGTGTGTGTGTGTGTGTTTATTTCTGTCTGCACTCTGGCTCTCTCTGCCTCTGCATGACTTTGTGTGTGTCTACGTGTGTGTGTGTGTGTGTCTCCTATATGTATGTGTGTATTTATATCTGGCTCGCTCTGCATACCTCCCTATGTATGTGTGTCTGCATATATGTGTGTGTCTCTTCTGTGTGTTTATCTGGTTCTCTCTGCATGCCTCTGTATGTCTGTGTCTACATGTGTGTGCGTGTTTCTTTTATGTGCATGTATGTTTATGTCTAGATGGCTTTCTAGCTCTCTCTGTCTGCTTCTTGGTGTGCCTGTCTCTTCTGTGTGTCTTTCTGTCTGTCTCTATCAGTGTGTTCTTGCTGCCTCTCCTCACCCCTCACCTCATGTGTGTTTGAGGGTCAGGGTCTCTGTCTCTCCCTGTTCTCCTCCCTCCATCCTTAGGCTCCTTGTCCCAGCACTAGAAATCCCCAGACCACCTCACCCCACCCCCTGCTCCTCCCACGCACCCCAGACATTCATATGAATTGCAATCATGTAATTACAAAACCATACAATATTGAATTACACGAATGAAATCCACTTGGTTAATTATATGAGAAAAAATAGAATTAAGGTGACTCCAACAGGAGGAAAAAGAAAATAACTTTAGAATTGTATAGATTTTGGAATTACGGGATTTAGGGCCACGTCCTTCAAATAAATATGGCCATAAACCCTGTTCATAGAGAAAGAGATTTTCCTTAACGCTATGGACTCATATCTTTCATTTTTAAAAAACATTTCAACCAGAGAGAACTAGTACCAGAAGCCCACTTCCCAACCTCCCAAACATTTATTTCGACATCCCAACGAAGCTTTAACTGGCTGTGCCATCCCCTAAGCCTGGCTGCTCCAGTCCTCTGCTCCCCACAGTCCAGCCTCCCTGAGCCCCTCTGCCTGGTTTCTCCAGGAGGAACAAGACCCAAACACAGAATTCACCGAGAAGAACCTGCTGATGACGGTCATTTATCTGCTGTTTGCTGGGACGGTGACAGTCAGTGCCACGGTCAGCTATGCCCTCCTGCTGCTTCTGAAGTATCCTCAGGTCCAAGGTAGGCGCCTTTTCCACCCACCAGAGCCTGGGAACAGAAATTAGGAGGCTGAGGGAAAGAATGTGAGGGACAGAACGTTCACACAGCAGGGCGGCCTGGGCCAGAGCTCAGAAGTGAGAATGAGCATGGTATTTGGGGTGTCTGAGGAACGAGAAGAACTTGGGGCTGCCCATTGTAGAGGCTAGGTCAGTCAGGGTCTTGTGTCTTGGTACTAAGTTTTCTGTCTTATCTGGAGGCATGGGGAACCATGGAAGGACTTTGAGTAGAGGAGGGCAGGATCAGAATTGCATTTCAGAAAAAAACCCTTGGGCTTCCCAGTGGAGGTGACTGCAAGGGAGGAGGAGAGAGCAGAGCTGGGCCAGGCTGTGGGAAGGGACGAGACCAGGTGGGGAGAGATGCTCAGGTGGCCGAGGGGGGTCAGATCGTGGAGAACGACCCGGGAGGGAGGCATGCCCGGGATGGGGACAGGAAGGAGGAGAAGTATATATAGGTTTTGTCAGAGACAGAGGCCAGTTTGGGACAATATGACTATGCGGGGTTTGGGGGACATCTGAAAGGAGACACTAGCTGGCCAGGAGACACTCAGGTTAGGACTGGAGGTTAAAGAGGTTGGGATACAAGTGTGGGAACTGATGCCACAATGGTGAGGGCAGGTGTGAGAGTGAGCAGGGGCGAGACCCAGGCCTGAAGAACTGGTTAGTCATTTAAACACCGTCCGAGCAGCAGCAGGATGGGCTGACGTGGAAGATGGGGCTCTGGTGCTGGTACCTGGTGGCCTTGGTGGCGTGGATGAAGTCAGCTATGACTTCAGCTCTCAGTTTCCTCATCTGGGCAATAAACCCAAACCAAACTCACTGCCGTGGAGTTGATCTGACTCATAGTGACCCCTCCTTGGGTTTCCGAGGCGGTATCACTGCAGAAGTAGATTGCCTAGTCTTCCTTCCTCGGAGTGGCTGGTAGGTTTGAACTACCAACCTTCTGGTTAGCAGTCAGATGCCTTGGCACTGCACCACCAGAGCTCTCTAGGGATGAATAATGACACCTAGTCACAGGTTTGGGAGCTCTGGTAGCATAGTGGATAAGGCACTTGACTGCTAGCCAGAAGGCTGGAGGTTCAAACCCACCAGCCACTTCTCAGAAGGAAGGTTAGGCAATCCTACTTCCGTAGTGATACTGCCTTGGAAACCCAAGGAGGGGACGCTATGAGTCAGGGCTGACTCGACGGCACATAACAACAACAACAACAACAAGTCACAGGTTTGCTGAGGGAATGAAGAGGTGATGGAAGTGAATGCCTGCACACAAGATGCTTGGGACCCTGGGCTCCTTAGGGCTGGGGGACTCCTCCTCCCAGCCTGCCAGGCTCGCCCCAACAACAGCTGTCCAGAAACCCAATTAGAACAGGGTCTTCCAAGGAGAGGACCATGGACCCCAGCTGACCACTGACCTCAAATCCTCTTCCTTTTGGTTTGTAGAGCGGGTGCATGAGGAGCTGACACGGGAGCTGGGGGCAGGCCGGACACCAGGCCTGGGGGACCGTGCCCGCCTCCCGTACACAGATGCAGTTCTGCATGAGGTGCAGCGGCTGCTGGCACTGGTGCCCATGGGTGTGCCCCGTGCTCTCACGCAGACCACCTGCTTCCGAGGATACACCCTGCCCCAGGTGGGTGTACGGGGTGGCCGCCAAGCCCCAGCCAGGTTGTCCGTCTCTGCCTCAGTCCACCACACTCTTTCTGAATCTTTGTTTTCTGTCATGTGCATGTGTGTGTGTCTGTCTCTGTCTGTCTCTCTCTCTCTTCTCCTCCGTGTTCAGACTCCACTGTGACATGCAAACTGGGTGTTACTCTCTGTTACTTTTTGCGTGCATTTCTCTTGCCTTTTGACTGTCTCTGGGCCGCAGTTTTGCCCAACCAGGATCCTAATCCTACCTCCTTCCAAGATAGTCGGGACAATCTGATGAGGTGACAGACAAGGAAGCAATTTGAGAACTGAGGACAGAGTCCGGGGCTAGCAGAGGCTCTCTCTGCAGCCCCTGATGCAGGCGCATGCACTCAATCACACTCGCCCACTCACAGTTACACACACACATTGCCATGTGCAAACGGCACTCACAACCATATTACACGCTCACCATCACACTCAGTCCCTGCCCCTTCATTTGGGGAGCAACTCAGATATATGACCACCAGGGGGCGATGTCTTTCTAGAAACTGAAGGCAGCTCCCTGGGAGCCAGCGCTCTCCTTGAACTTCATTGTGAAATCAAACCCATGGTTAGAATTCAGCTCTGCTGTTTTCTAACTGGGAGCTTTGGTGGCGTGGTGCCTAAGGCATTTGACTGATAATCAGAAGGCTGGTGGTTCAAACCCACCAGCCACTCCTTGAAAGGAAGGTTGGGCAATCTACTTCCTTGGAAACCCAAGGAAGGGTCACTATGAGTCAAATCCGACTCGATGGCCGTGAGTTTTGTTTTCTAACTGGGACCTTGGTAAATCACTTTACTCTCTAAGCTTCTATTTCTTCTTTCTAAATTGGGGGCAGTAATAGTGCAAAAAATGGTGTGACGGAGGTGTCTGACCTCCTCTAACTTCACAAGGAGGAGAGAGAATCAAAATGAACTGGCCCAGGGGTGATTCCTAGGAGGTGGAGGTCAGACACACCACCACGCATTAACCTTTTTACCAATTCTGACAGCAACCCTCCCTCCCACGGCACTCACTACTTCTCTGCTGGGTTCAATAATTCATTGCAGTGGCCACACAGAACTTACAGACAATACTCGTGATTATTGGGGTTTATTAGGGAAGTAACAGGTTATAATTCAGGTTCAAGAACACTCAGGATACAGTCCTTCGTTCAAGACAGCCTCAGTCATGCAGCAGGCAGACCTCTATCTGGTCCTCGGTCACTCCAAAGGACCTCTTGGGCCATTTCAGCCTCTGCCCAATTACTACTACAAATGAGTACTATCTACAGTGTAGTGAATGACTTTATATGGCCCTGCTAGCCATAGTCTTTGTAACGCCCACAAAATGACTGGGCGGAGCTATGCAAATGAGGTGCTTGTGGCCCACCAATGGGACTGATAGCTCTTAGCTCTTCCAACAAGTGCCTGGAGGCACCGCATCCTCCAGGAAATCTCTTGGCCAGAGGCACTCAGCTTTCAGTGGGCAGAAGCACCATCCCCTGGCAGCCTCCTGGTTCTGCTGCCAGTTTCCCTGCTGCCACTTCTCACTGTCTCTCCAGTTATAGTTCTCTCTGTCTCCTGGGTCCCAGCACAGGGACCACAGGTCCAATGGACTCACTCCACTCCTGGCTCTTCTTTCTTCGTGGTCATAAGGTACCCCTTTCCACCTCTGGCATGGCTCATTTTAAGCCTAACGGGATAACAAAACAAACCAATCCCCTCACTAGCATTCCATACACTTTATTTGCATGGCCATACCCCCATAAGGTTGCCATGCACTTTATTTACATTATTAGCAAAGCTATCAATCCCATTGGTGAGCCACAAGCACCTCATTTGCATAGCCCCACCCAGTCACTTGGTGAGAGTCACAAAGACTATGGCTAGCAGGGCCACATTAAGTCATTCACTACACCACAAATAGTATCCATTTGGAGTAGTAATTGTTTATACAACACCAATTCAGCTGTTAGGGAAGAGGGATCTGGGGAGGTCCTGTATTCAAGGCCGCATTGATGCTGGTGACAGTAACAATTGCAGACATGCCTGTGTTGAGTACCATTTTTAAATACTTCACGTAAGTGTTACTGTACAAATGTCAGTAGGGGCAGCAGCAGACCTCCTCTGACTTCATAAGGGAGGAGTTAGGACCAAGATCAACATCAACAGCCCAAGGCTGATTCCCATGGAGGCACCGCCCTCCGATCTCTTTACCAAGTCTGATACCAACCATTCCTCCCATGGCCATCACTGCTTCTGTGCTGTGTTCAACAGTCCATTGCAATGGCCATACAGAACTCAAGCAATACTGACAATTATGAGGTTTAGTGGGGTACAATCCAGGATCAGAAATTACTCGAGTTAGGGTACTTCAATCAGGACAGCCTCTTCTTAGCCGTGCCCATAGGCACCCCTCTCTCTGGTCCATGACCCCACAGCCTCTGCCTTGCTTGGGCAGTGTTACAACGCTTTCTTAGCTCTGCTGGTAAGTGCTTGGAGGCACCCCACTTCACCAGCAAGCCTCCTGTCTGAAGGCACTCAGCTTTCTCACTCCGTGGGCCAAGAAGACCCCTTCCCTGCATCCCGCCAGGTCTCCTGCCGCCATTTCTCTGCCACTGTGTCTCAGCAAAGTGTTAGCTCTCTGTCTCCTGGGTGGAGGAGGTTCAGTGCAGGGCTCTCAGGTCCAAAGGATGTGCTCAACTCCTGGCTCTTCTTTCTTGGTGGTTGTGAGACTCGCCCCTTTCCACCTCTGGAATGAGTCATTTTAAGCCTAGCGGTATGGCAACACTGACCAATTCCCACATTAGGGTTTGTATACTTACTTGCATGGTTGGGCAATTTACTGCCGGAGTGATACTGCCTCGGAAACCCAAGGAGGGGTCGACTTAATGGCACATAACAACAACAACCCTCACAGGAGTGTCATGCAACCCCTCTAATCCCCTTGGTGGGCACCTCACATTTGCACAGCCCCACCCAGTCATCTGGTGGGAGTCATAAACACCACAACTAGAAGAGCCACACCAACAATTCACTGCACTGCAATTCCCTTATTTAATCTTGAAAGCAATCCTGAACCATCATCATGCCCATTTTACAGATGACGAGACTGAGGCTTGGGGTGTGTAGAAAACTTGCCAAACTCACCCTGCATGCAATCAGGGGAGGGGGGGGCAAGATTTGAACCCTGAGCCTATCCTTTAACCACTGCACTATCTGCCCCTCTTTAACACCATTAGCATGGCCCTGTCTTATTCTGAATCCTCTTCCACTCCTCAACGTGGACCCCTGTTGGCAAGAGTCCCTAGCAGAGTGGCGTCTCCCCCTCTTCTCACGCACCCCCCTCCATTTCCCACCACAGTCCTGGGGACATGATCTTGGTTCATCCTTCCCAAATGCAGACAGGGACAGCCCTCACTCCCCTACTCTTGCCACCCCCAAAAGACCATAGTGGTAAAAAGCTAGACTCTGAGCCAGGTGGCTTAGGACAGCACTGCTGAGGCACACATACTCCAGAGTTTAAAGTCAAACCATAAAAATACCAAAATCTGCCCTATCCAAACTATTACTTTGGGCAAGTTGCTTAAATTCTCTGACCTCGGTTTTCCCATCTTTACAATGGGGATAATATTAACACCTACCTCTTAAGCTTGTTTCAATCAGGTGCGTGGCTGTAAAGTATGTAGCTGTTATATGTAAGGTAACATATGTAAAGTGGCTGGGCCGTTATGATATTAGATGCCATCAAGTCGATCCCAACTCGTAGCACCCCTGTGTACAACAGAATGAAACCCTGCCCAGTCCTGTGCCAGCCTCACAATTGTTGGCTATGCCATGGTTGCGGCCACTGTGTCAGTCCATCTCGTTGAGGACCTTCCCCTTTCTTTGCTGATCCTCCACCTTACCAAGCATGACATCCTTCTCCAGGGAATGGTCCCTTCTGACAACATGACCAAAGTAGGTGAAATGGAGTCTGGCCATTCTCACTTCCAAGGAGCATTCCAGCTGCACTTCTTCCAGGACAGATTTCATTCTTCTGGCAGTCCATGGGACTTTCAGTATTCTTCACCAAAACAACAACTCAAAAGCATCAACTCTTCTTCAGTCTTCTTTATTCATTGTCCAGCTCTCACATGCATATGAGGGTACTGAAAATACCACGGCTTGGGTCAGGTGCACCTTAGTCTTCAAAGTGACGTCTTTGCTCTTTAACATTTTAAAGAGGTCTTTTGCAGCAGATTTGCCCAATGCAATATCATGTCTGATTTCTTGACTGTTGCTTCTATGGGTGTTGATTATGGATCCAAGTAAAATGAAATCCTGACAACTTCAGTCTTTTCTCCATTTATCATGAGGTTGCTTATTGGTCCAGTTGTGAGGATTTTTGTTTTATGTTGAGGTATAATCCAAGGTGCAGACTGTAGTCTTTGATTTTTATCAGTAAGTGCCTCAAGTCGTCTTCACTTACAGCAAATAAGATAGTTAACAAGCCTTCCTCCTATCCTGATGCCACAGTCTTCATATAGTCTAGCTTGTCGGATTATTTGCTTAGCATGCACATCAAATAAATACGGTGAAAAGATACAACCCTGACACATACCTTTCCTGATGTTAAGTCATGCAATATCCCCTTGTTCTGTTTAAATAACTGCCCCTTGGTCTATGTACAGGTTCCTCATGGGCACAATTAAGTGTTCTGGAATTCCCATTCTTCTCAATGTTATCCATAATTTGTTATGATCCACACAGTCAAATGCCTTTGCATGGTCAATGAAACTCAGATAAACATCCTTCTGGTATTCTTTGCTTTCAGCCAGAATCCATCTGACACAGCCATGATATCCCTCGTTCCACACTCAATCGCTCTAAAATGGTGTGGCTGTTGATTTTGTGAAGTGGTATCCCTTACACTGCAGACTCTTCTGCTCCATACTCAGGAACCAGGTTCCCGGGGGTCTTAGGGACATTCATAGTTTTCCCTTCTTTCCTCTCAGGGCACTGAGGTCTTCCCTCTTCTTGGTTCCGTCCTGCATGACCCTGAGGTCTTCGAGCAGCCAGAAGAGTTCAACCCTGGCCGTTTCCTGGACGAGAACGGGCGGTTCAAAAAGCACGAGGCGTTCCTGCCCTTCTCCTTAGGTATCTGCTGGGCCCCATCCCTACTGTTGCCCACTGGCCGGTCCAGGCAGACTGGATGTCTGTTCCAGCGGGGGGTCCCCCTCCCCTCACCCCGGCTCACCCTTCATTCCTTCCCCCTGGGCTCGGGTGTGGGAAGGGCTGGCTCAATCCACTCTCCATCTTTTCACCAGGCAAGCGCGTCTGCCTCGGGGAGGGCCTGGCACGGGCAGAACTCTTCCTCCTCTTCACTACCATCCTGCAGACCTTCTCCCTGGAGAGCCCATGCCCACCGGGCAGCCTGAGCCTACAGCCGGCTGTCAGTGGATTTGCCAACATCCCCCCAGCCTTCCAGCTGCAGGTCCGGTCCCGCTGACCCCTCTCCACTAGAGAGGACCAGAGGAAGAAGAGAGCCTTGGGAGTTGGTGGCCCCCAGCTTCAATGGTAGACTTGGACACAGTTGTGTCTCCAGAACCACCGGTCCATACAGCAGGGAGCCCTACTCCCACACCTAGAGCTGTTTTTGCACACATACACAGCCTGCCTGTTCACAGGGCAGGCAGGGCCACATTACTCGGCTCACACAGCCATGCACTTGGCCTACACTCGACAGACACAAAGTTAGTCCATCTGGAATCACAACCATGTGCCCAGGTGACCCACCAACTCATATGCACATAACTAACTGCCCTGGACACACACCCTCATCATCCATCAAACCTGCAGAGTGCCCAGCGCCTGTGGGAGCCTGGCACAGGGAAGGACAATAAGCCCCCTCCGGGATCATGTCACTGCATAGACACTCCTGTCCATCATCCACCACTCTGCAGGCACGTGGGCGCGCTCACCCACCACCACCTCTGTCCATACTCCCCAACCTGGGAACCACACAGCAGGCACGTGCGTGCACGCACACCAGACTTACACGTGACACCCCCACAGCTCCCCTGACAATAACTCATCACTGCTCACAGGCAGCACTGTACCCAGCCATCAGCACATTTCACCTAGGGACACACTTTTTCAGGTAGCTTGACCCCTTGAATCTCCCAAGGACATCCCCAATGTGCTGGTTGTGCACACATACCTGGGCACCAAGTAACCTTGGGCACAGGAGGACGCCCAGACCAAAGGTACACACACACCCCATCCCCGCCCCTCCTTAGGCGACCTTGTTGAAAGCTTCCCTCCTAATCCACTCCCCCCAACCCAAGCTATGGGAGCTCTGAGGTTCTGCTGCGCTCCAGAATCCCATCAGACCCAGGGAAGGACTGCACGGACCCAGGAGGAGCCAGGTCCCAACCCACAGTCTGGTATTGTCAGGAGGAGGCCAGGTCTGGCATCCTTTGTGACTTAAAGGCCCTGTTTTGCAATAAAAGGTTTTTTTCTGGCCCGTGGCAGGGCCTGGAGTAAGTTTGTGACTGTCGTCACAGAGAGCTCTGGGTGTGGTAGGAGTCCACGCCTCCCAGCCCCCTCCCCCGAGGCTGGGCGGGAGCTAAAAAACATGGCCCCCGCCCACCCTGGCTGTTGACATCAGCACCAGATGTGGAGCTGAGTACCGGGCCAGGAGGGAGGGAAGGGGCTGGGCGGGGCTTTCAGTCTGTGGCAGGGTGGGGGGCAGGGCCCTGGGAGAGGCTCTCCTCCACGGAGGGTCATGGTCGGGCTGCCTGTGCAGCCAGGGATAGACAGCCCAAGGCCAGGAAGCCCTGGGAATTGTCCAGATCTGGAACTGAATACTTAACGCAGGCCCCACCTCACTGGCCTGTTTCATTCAGCCTTTTCCTCCCCACCTTCTCTGCAATAGGAAGGCAGAAGCATCGTTTTATTGGTCAGTTATTAAAAATGGAAGTTTGTAAATCCCCAAAAGAGGACGAAACAGTATAAAGAACCCATGCCCAGCCCAGGTACTCACCATCCAGCGTCAGTATCACCAACTTCCTTTTTTTTTTTTTTATTCTGGGTTTTTATTATTTTAAAACAAACCGCAGAAAATAATTGAATGTGTGTCTCCAATACTTCTGGGCATTTGTCCTCTGACACTGTATTGTGAATGTTTTCAAGCGTGCAGGGATATTGGAGGCACTGTGCAGGGGACCATCCCGGTGCCTGTCACCTGGATCATGACCACCCTACCCCCGACAGTTTGCTGCACTGTTAGCATGCTTCTGTTGACCTGTCCATCCATCTCGGTGTTTTCTGCACTTAAAAACTTGCAGCCATCAGTCTGTCTTCCCCCTCAATCCTTCAGCAGTGTGCATGTCATAAGCTAATATTTATTTTTAAAATAGACCATTTTCACACCCTTCATAGTGGACGGTGCTAGAAAGTCAAAGGCCGGTCGGTGTTCACATTTCCCTGATGCTCTCATCAGTGTGTTTTACACTTGGTTTGTTTATATCAGGTCCCTGGGTGGTGCAAGCTGTTTGCACCCAACTACTAACTGAAAGGCTGGCAGTTCGAACCCACCAGCGGTTCTTCCGGAAGGAAGGCTTGGCAATCTACTTCCACAAAGATCAAAAGCAAACCTGTTGCCATGGAGCTGATTGCAGCTCACGGTGACCCCACATGTTTCTGAGTACAACTGTGCGCTCCATGGGGTTTTTAGCAGCTGTGATCTTAAGGAAGTTGCCAGCTTTTTCTTCCGTGGTGCTGTTGGTAGAGTCAAACCACCAATCTGTCTGTTAGTTGAATGCAAACCCTTCATACCACCCAGGGGCCATCCACTTTTCCACCAAGATTACACCCAAGAAAACCATATGGAGCAATTCTCTGTAACACATCAGGTCTCCATGAGTCAGAACTGAATCCATGGCAGGGGGTTTGGTTTGCTGTCATTCAGGTTCCCAAGAAGGTCCCCCACACTCTGCCTTTGTCTGAAATGTCTGTCAATCTTTTAAAAATCTGCACCAGTGACCTTTTATATGCCATTTTTTTCCTTGAGACCAGGTCACTGCCCTGTACAATTTCATATTCCAGGTTCACTGGCAGCAACTTTATGATGGTGTTTAAGAGGGACTTAAGTTCCCAGAATCACCTGTAAACAGAATTAGATTGGATTTGGGCTCATTCAAGGCCTCACATGAGGGGCTGGTGCCTTTGTGTCCCATCACACTGCAGTAACTGTTCAGTGATGTTTACGATTGGGGTGTCCAAGCTGTGGCCCCTCCATTAGAAAGTTTCCCATCAACCTTTCACCTTCTGACTTTAACAGAGGAATCCTTTAAAAGCATAAAGTGGGTCTCCCCCCTGCTCAAGAACCCCCAGAAGCTCCCATCACATTTAGAATAAAGGCCAAAATCCTCCCCAGGCCAAGACTGTCTTGAGACCTCACCTCACCACCTCCACCTCGCCTCCAGCCACAAGGCCCTTTTTGAAATTCTTTGCCATATCCAGTACATGTCTCTGTCTGCCTCAGGGCCTTTGCACTGGCTGTTCCCCTGTGCCCAGAATGCCCTTCCTAACATGGCTCACCTGCTAATTCATTTCAGATTTCAGTCCTAACGCCTGAGAGGCCTTCCCCCAACCACGCTGGCTAAAGTGGCATTCCCACCTTGGGTGTCCCCTCCCCTGCCTTTTCCTTCACTCCCTGTCTTGCAGGCTGATGAACGTTTGATTTGGGAGTGGACTCTTCCCCTCAGAGTGTGTGTTTCCCAGAGGCAAGAATTTGTCCTACTCATTGTGGAATCCCAGACCCTACTGCAGGCAACATTTCTATCCCTGTCTATTTCTTTATGTTCCAAATAATTGTTTCAAATTCTCTCTATTTTGTTGAGAATTTACACAGCAAAACGTACACCAGCTCCACCGTTTCTACATGTATAATTCAGTGACGTTGATGACAGTCTTTGAGTGTACAACGTTCTCACCCTCCTTTTCTGAGTTGTCCCTCCCCCGTTAACATAAACTCACTGCCCCCTGAGGTTCCTATCGAATTTTTTGAGTTGCTGTTGTCACTTTGATCCCAATGTATTCAAACCAAACTCACTGAGATTCATAACAACTGCCATTGGGTATGCAAGGCTGTAAATCATTATAGAAGCAGACTGCCTCATCCTTCTTCCACAGAGTGGCTGGCGGGTTCGAACCCCAATTTTGACTAGCTTCCAGATGCCTTAACCACCACACCACCAGAGCTCCTTTGATCCAAATATAGATAATCCTTAAAAGAGTGCAGGACTCAAGGCCAATGTTGTTTACCAGCAAAGCTAAACGGCTGTTTGTTTTTAAGAAGACTTCAGGGGATATTTTTGGTTTAAGGCTTACAGAGTCTCGCAGGACAGTAGTTTCAGAGGTTCATCCAACGCCCCATTTCATCTCTTAAGACATTTCAGAGTATACCCCTGGCGCATGGTAGGTACTCAGCAAATATTTCTCAAGGGGATGTATGTAGAGATTCAAGCCAGCCCCGGGGACCCCCAGCACATTCATGCAAGTGGACAGACATTGTGTATGACTGCACCCCCAAAATGCCACAATTATTAATTATTCCCTTTGTGGAGGGCATGTTATGTTACAGGGTGGCAGTCACAGCAGTGATGAGATAATATCCCATCCCTGCCCTCCCAGAATCCACAGACCAGTGGGAGGAGAGCTAATCACACCAATAAACGCAATGACAAGCCAGGCAGAATGTTGCCAAAGGAAAGAAAACAAGATGGAGACCTAGATCAGAGTGAGAGACGGTCAGGCAGCATCTCACTGGGAGGTGGCAATTGAGAAGGGACTGAGGGGTGTGCAGTCGTCTGGGGTCTTAGGTCATCCTCTGGGTCATCTTCCGTTTTCAGGAAGAAGGTAACCTAAATTTGTAGCTGACAGTGGAGGAGTCAAGGAGCTTTGGTGGTGTAATGGTTAAAGCTATTGGCTGCTAACCGAAAGGTCAGTGGTTCAAACCCAACAGCTGCTCCACAGAAGAAAGATGAGGCACTGGGAGTCGCTGTGAGTTGGACTCGACTTGGTGGCAGTGAGTTTTTGTTGATGGAGAAGGCAGGGGTGACTTAGTGGTAGAATTGTGCCTTCCATGTGAGAGACCGGGGTTCACTTCCAGCCAGTGCAGCCACCAAGTGTATGTTGCTATGACGCTGACGAGATTTCAGCAGAGCTTCAAGGCTGAGAGTCCGGAGATAGGCCTGACAATCTAATGAGAATGAGCCAATGAAACCCTTTGGACCCCAACAGCTTGCGATTTGCCCCATGGTGCATGAGGTTGTCGGGAGTCAGCCAACCCCATGACAGCTTATCTCAACCTGCTTTCTGCCTGTGGATATGGGAAGGGAAGAGACTTCTTTTTCTTTTGTAGGATTTCCATGTCCTTCAGTCCAAGCTGATACAATTCTCTTAGAAACCTAGTGGCTTTCCTATGTGTGGGACCAAGAGTGG